GGGACCAAGCTTCGTTACGTTAACTATCCTTGCTGCATCAAAAGATTCTATGCGTGCAACCCTTTTTGGTATCCGGGTTATTGGTTTGGAGCTCTTGGGGTACCTAGGTCAGAGGCCTGCAAAGCGGTCCAGGAGGGTTGCAAAGGGGGTGGGGGTGCTGGGGGTGGGTACTTGTTAGCCATCCTCCCATCCTTGGCAGGGGCAACCGTCCCCCATCCCCCATCTTAAGGGCCGGTGCTAATCCCATCCCTCTGACAGGGTTCCCATCCCCATCCTACAGCTGGACCCCCCAATCCCATCCTGCCAGCGAGGGTCCCATCCCCATACCTTGAGCTGGTGCCACAACCTTCATCCTGAGATGCCAGCTGTAAACCTAATCCTGTAACGTGTATCATCCTTCTTGAGTCCGTTGTAACTCTTAACTAGGCTGGTCTGGCCAGAAAGTACGGAAGAGGGTGTCCGACGTATCACACATAGAACGCCCTTAAAATTTCGCATGAGGATTGCACACATGCACAGCACTGTGCGATATCTATACAGCAGTTGCGCACCACTGTGCGGCAGCTACGCTTGACCTCTCACATTACGGTTAGCGAGTTTCCGGGCCGTCCCCAACAGCAGCCCACCACCCATTCAGACTCATATGTTAGTGCGAGCAGCGTTGGTAAACTCGCTCAGGAACTGCTGAGACCGCGTTACTTTGCAAGAACCAAGCAGGTACCAGCAGGTGGCCCCAAGAACCAAATTGGGACACGCGCGCCCTTAAACTGCCAAACGCATGCTTGGCCTCGGTGTTCGGTTTACCGTATTGCTGACCCATGGGTCGAGTTCTGCGAACAAAATCGACCTGGACGAAGTGCACGTTTATTACTGGCATTGGCGACCATGTAATTGCTCGGACTGTCTGTAGGATGCGCCATATGTAATAGCACATCCCGTAATCCTCTAATCCACGGGGTGGGTACCGGTCAGCTATCCTCTAATCTCAACAGGGGTGGACCACTTCTAATTCCTAATCCAGGGTGGTGGTCTTATCCATATCCTAGGGGCGGTTGTTTGTAATCCACATCCCGTTGCAGTATCCCAATCCCAATCCTAATCCTACACTCGGGTCCTCATCCTAAACCTGACGTCAACTTTGTATCCTAATCCTGTCCCCCCTCGCCGCATCCTAATTCCTGCCCGACCGGTACCCGAACCCAATCCCTAATCTTTGCACACCTCTGCCTAGGTGGTACCAAGTAGGTGTGCGTTTGTGGGGCCCATCTGGGTTAACTGCACTATCAGCCTCCGCCTACGTCCACAAACCTGATGTCGTGACCGTGTGGGGCATGTAATGGATCTTGTAATTCGAATGGATCTCACCCGTGCATGACCCACAACCCAAACACTGTTGAGGGCAGCAGAGAGGTCCCTAGGTCGTCCAATCGGGATGCGACACGCTTTCGTGGTTTCTGTCCGCTGCCAGCCACTGCTGGTTTGGAAGTGTGCTCTGTGTCGTGTGCACGTGGCATTTGTCGGATGTATCCCTAATCTAACAACTGCCCAACGGCTTCGCTCTGCATGGGTACGCTATGGGTGAATTAATGCTGAGGACAAAAGGATGATTGTAAGGCGGACTCTATGGACGGGATCTCTGGCGCACCATGCCACATGCCCCAACATTTTGCAGGATTGCATCCATCGGATACGGGTACGGGTGTGAGTGTTTGTGCGCGTGTCCGTGCCTGTGCTAGAAGTACAAATCTCTTTGCCCGCGTCTGTGTGTTCGAGGAAAGTACGTGGTCTATTGTGGCCCGGATAATTATGATGTTACAAGCTCGCTAAGGCCCAGACGAGCCGAGAGTCCGATTCACAGAATAGATCTGGGGCTTCCATTCGGTAGGTAGGTAGGTAGGTAGCTGTGTTCCCGTCTCCCGGGAGGGAGCTCTCGTGCGATCACTAGAGCTTCTGGGTGCTGGTAGGGGACTGGGTGTTTTGCGTTTTGGAGTCGCGGTCCGTTTGGCTTTCCTGAGGCGGAGGTTCGCATCCGGTTTTTCTAGGTGGTTCTTTCCCTGGTTAGGCTGTGCTTCGCCTTTTTTACACGCCCATCCTGGGCTTTTAGGCAACCTGCACATTCACCGGCTCAGGATATTCGTTCTGAGTTGGGTGCTTTTACCGTGTTTCGTTGCAGTAACAGAGGGCATTTAGCCCAGTGATGTTAGTGCGCCTTGGCCCGACTAGCTGGAATGCAAGCTACAGGGCCCACAGTGTTGTGCTGATGCACCCAACCCGTTCGGGGTCCGCTGTAACAAATCGCATTCCATTCGACGGTTGTACGGCCAATTAGTATCGAGTATCCATATCAAAGGAATGTATCGTCTAATGCTTGCCCATTAATGCAACTTTTGTTTGTTACACTGGTTTCTTATTGCAAGGAATGCATGCTTTGCTTGTGCTCGCTACAGACCACGGTAGCTGTAGTAATTCGTGTACATATTACACTTTAGCGTCGTGATTGTAATAATTGATCATGGCTTGATCAAACATTCCACTGTGTAGCTTTTTGGTCGTTCCGATTCCGCGTGCATCGCTAAGATGTGGCTCGGACTTTTCATCGCAGTATTTTGTAAGTTGCAAATCCATGTCCGACTGAATCATGCCGCTGGAGTGAGGCTCATGGCTCTCAATCGCACGTACAATTCTTTGCTCCGCAGATGGTGCCGTGGCCGTTTTCGCCAACTTCGGTGCGTCGCAGCGAACATGCTTCAGGCAAACTACGAATGTTGTTGACTGCCGGGCAGCGTTGCTTGGGCCGGTGTGCGGGTTATTAACATGGGGAGACCCTGTGAAAAGATGGCATGGGGAAAGCATTTTGAATGCACGCGACACGCATCCTGGCCCTACCGCTGCATTTCTGTTTAGTGCGGCCGTTAAACTGCCATTACTCTTACCCCTGGAACGATCATTCTATGCAGTGAACAAGTATGCGGTCCAGGTTTTGCCTCTTCCCGTCACCATCCTCTTGATTCAAACGCTCACGACAGCTGTCTTGCTGCAAGCGATGGCAGCGATGCAAATGATCCGTGTGCCGTCCATTCGTGCCATTCGGGTCCAGCAGCTGGCTCCCCTTTCAATTTGTTACAGCGTCCATGCCGTATTGGTGCTGTACAGCCTGGCCTTCCTGTCCATACCTATGTACAACACCCTGAAGCGGCTGACCCCGGTCATGGTGCTTGCAACCAAGGTACGCTTTTGAGGAATTTGGGTGCTGCTCCAATACACATCTTCTACAAGACTTTTTGAGCCGTTTGCTTGGGCCGATGCGTGTGACGTACGCCCGATGCACACCACTACACGCCACCAGCACAGCGGGCCACTGTGCAGCACATCCCGCAGGCCATAAATATAACCGGTTTGCCCCCGTAACTGGTTAATATCCGTGGGATTAGCGGATTGCGGGTGCTCTGCCTTGCAGGCGGTTATGGATAAGCGCTGGCCGGACGCTCAGACCACCTCCTCGGTGTTGCTGATTGTCAGCGGCTGCATGGTCGCCGGCGCGGGAGACCTGTCGTTCGACGGGCAGGTGCGCAGGCTCTTAATATTTATCCGTTTTAAGTGTGGACTGTGGCAGCTCACATGATGCGAACCGAAGAAAGTTTTACATTCGCCGGCAAATATGCATTACTTCAAGGCCTGTCAGGAGTCGTTCAGGATCCATGCTGTCGATGTCCTTGTGTAGCTTTGTTTGGCAGTGCGCTTCCCATACCGCAGGCTGCCGACGAGTACTGAAGGGGCCTAGTATAGATCTGAGCGTGTACACACTATGACTGCCATGTGCCCCAATGGCGACCGTAGGGCTATTCGCTTGCGCTGCTTTGCGCGTTCATGCAAGCCACGTACATCCTCCTGGCTGAAAAGGCAAGCGGTGGCGGCAGCGGCAACGGGCACACTGCTCCGCGCAAGAAGTACCACACATCAGGAAACGACATTGCGGACGAGGAGGGCAGGGCAGGGGAAGGCGGCCAAGGCAGCGAGGTCGGCTCCAAATACGCTCTGGCGCACAGTACAGGCGTGGAGGTGCACGCAAACCTGCACCTAAACGTGCATGCGGCCAGCAGTCGCAATACGCAGTCCCAGCTGACTCCTACTTCGCCAGGGTCTGTACACGCGGCTTGTCCCAGCGAGGATGGCGTTGCACCACTGTCCGCGACAGAGCTGCTGTACAGCATATGCGTAATAAGCGTCCCTGCGCTTGTTGCCGTGTGCGTTATCTCTGGCGAGGGGGCACGGGCACCACGCCACATTAAGCAATTGCAATCAAGCATGGGACACACGACGTTCTATGCTTGGCTGGGCATAACTGCTGTCACTGAGGGTCTTCTTACGGGCAGCGTCATATTGTGCACTCAGATGAATAGTGCGCTCACCACCAGTATCGTGGGTGTGCTCAAGGGCGCCGTGAGTAGCGTGCTGGGGTTCTTTCTGCTGGGGGGCGTTAAGTTCCATATCGTGAACGTTGCAGGTATAACTATGAACATGGTAGGTGGTATATGGTACAGTGCTGTTCAGTACATGCGCCGGAAGACGGCCGCGTAAGGTGTTTCGTGTATTCGTCAACCTGTACTGTTAAGGACATGTGGCTTGAAACATGTGCCGAGGCGAAATCTGCCCCACTTGACCACATCTAGCTTTTTAAAATGCTGGCGCGCGCAGCTACACCGTTTCTGAAAATATCAGGCCAAAACAGCAAGTTCACACTGCATGGCACCAATGGCAATCACTCCAATGGAAAACTCGTCGCATTAATATTATACATACCCGTTAAATGGGACACGTCATGTCCATCCATTTTGGACTAGAGAAACTATTGAGGCTGTGAATGCTAAGCCAGGGCCTCCCTCGTGTGTCCCTACGTCGTCATGTGTTGCTTATGTCAACGGTACAGTACATGCGACAAAATCCGGTCCTAGAGAATTTTCATACTGGTCCAAGCAAAATGCCTTGTCTCCCAAAAGCTTTAGCTGGCATGCAAACCGGACTAAACACCATCGCAAAACCGTCCGGTCAAGCGATCCGCAACGGGAGCCAAACAATGACTGGCATTTGATGGGCCAAGGTGGGCCAACAGCACAGCGCCGTACAACTATGCAAATTACCATCCATCCTAGCACGCCATAAAACGAGTTGGTTATGGAAATGGCCATGTCCCATCATGCCATAGTCAAGGGTCAGGCTTCACGCAGCCCAACATTAGGTTAGGCCCAGTAACGTGCACCGTTCATCTCACCGCGTTGGGATATGCCAACGTGACATACCGCTGTACACCCGTCAAGCGCATGCACATAACGAGAATGGCTATCAGTGGAGGTAGCACCGCCAGAACTAACCAAGCCTGTAGGCCCCAACCTTCAAACCCCCAGCTTGCAGTCCAGCCTAGTCTAGATATCCTTACTACACTGTGAAACCACCGCAAGTCAGAAGTCATGTAGGGTAAATATAAAACCGCCAGGTGCAACCTTTGACTTCAGATAAGCGCCTAACCCAAGGACTATTTCCCCGCACGTCAGTAGAATGAGTCAAGGGCAACGCATGATTTGCCATTAGGGAAGCATGATGTCGGAGCCTGCCAAAATAACAACAAGCTGTACTTAAGTTAACCATAGACACGGTGTCATTACGCTCCACGCGCAAAGCAAACTTAACTAACGGTACGCCCATACGCGATGCCGGCGATGTACAAATTCTTGGCCCACTTTTCTTTCACGTGTGAGCTAGGGAAGGCTGACGTGCGGAGCGTCTCCTGAGTCTCATCCATGGGACGCCTGTTAGGGCACGCAGTGAATAAGAATGGATCCGTCAAACACGCAAAAACTCACGAAATGCTGTTACACCACGCTGTAACACCTCACCGAATGAACATACCTTCGTGGGACGCTGAGCACGAATGCCGACTGATCTGGCGTCGCGGCGCAAGCCGTTATCCGGAAGCCCGCATCCCAGCGCCGGTGGATTCCTTCTGATGGGTACTGAAAATCCAGCTCCACGCATTGATCTGCGAACCCTGCGTTCCGCGACATTACTACTGCCCAGCGCGTATGCGACGTGGCCATGGACGTCACGTAAAAACCCTCCTTCCACTTTTTGTTAATCCACTTGAAGGGGAAGGAGTCGCTGACCTTGTAAGACTGCTGTGTGTAAGGCGTGCCCTTGGACATAACAACTAGACTGCTGCCAGACATCGAGCCGGCCATGGCCGTAATGTAATAGCCCTCTTCCCACTTCTCCATAATCCATTCCTTGGGCAAGAAATGCTGGCTCAAATTGTAAACCTGGTAAGAGTAAGCCAATTTGAGACACAGATCAGTGTAAGGGAAGCGCGACCTTATCCTTCCAACTCGAGATGGGGGTGCCGTGACGGTTGCAAGGCGCGCAATTAGTGCGCAAGGGCGCCGCCAACCTCACGCGTAACAAAGACATACAAGCCATGCTACAACGCGCAATCCGAGTAGCACAATGAAGTATGAAATCAAGGTAGAGTCTGTATCCGGCCTTAGATCACAACGCATAACCCTTAACGACCAACCTGCGCTGTGAAGCCTGTGCCCGCGTCCATAATGAGCGCCCACAACTCCTGGCAGCACGCTACAGAGGAAATATACAGACCGTCGTCGTTGCCCTTTTCCACATGCTGCTCCACGCGCGTATTCGCAACGTTGTAGTGGTACCTGGTTAACACGGACGGCACATTGGCTGATTTGGCGTCAGGGACAGTGGACAAACATCGCTGCACAGGCGACCTACCGCTGTTTCATTGGCCGGTGCGCGTTGTAGACCGTTATCCACTGTGTCGCCGGTAGGCCCAGTCGAACCTTTTTCTTTGGCGCTGCATCCTCCAACAGTTCGTCTGCATCGCGCTGACGCTTTTGGCCCACCTGTGACGGAAAACACTTAATGGTCACGACAGCCTTGGATGTGCGTCTTGCTGATAGACACCTCTTGTTTAATGAAACGACCTTTTGATAAGGTCCTAGTAACATGAACCCACCTTCGCTGCGCCTTCAACAAGGATAGGGCGTGAAGGAGCTGGGCCGCAGAGCGGCTCAAACAGCTTCATGTACGCCTCATACTTAGGCTCCTCGTCGAACTTCAGGTTCACAACTGCCTCCGTGAACTACGCCATTCGAAAGGAAGGTCCATATGGTTAGGGCAGGCGCAGCATAGGTTAGCACCCTGCTCTTGACATGGTTCCGAAGTTAGTAGTGGGAAGGCTCGGCTTCATAACGAACCTACACATACCTGCCGGAACGCAGGCGGGGTGTAGCGGCACAACATCTCCGCGGACGTTGCCATTTTCTTTTTGCAAACCAGGTAGCCTTTGTTGTCTCCCTGTAAGTTAAGCATTATTGAAAAACTCTTGGCAGTAGGCATGGTACGCTTTATGCCATGGTATGCCGCTTCGAGGCACGTCGGTGCTTACTTCCGGAAGCTCATGCCAGGATCTCCAAGTTACATTTGAAACGTGTTTGCAGCGCCCGCATGCCCACCCCATTGTGCAACGGATCCACTTGGGACTCCAACCCTCATTGCGCGATTCCCTACACCCCCGATGCAGTTCCATAGTAGCCTTTCCACTTGCCTGGTATCCTTGCCATGGCAGTCTGCCCTTGAGCAAAAAGAGCAGCGTGTACGCCAGTGATTCAAGGTCGTCTCGACGGCTGGCCGTGCGTCCCAAGTGCGCATGCACACTAGCGTAACGAACCGTTCCCCTGGACGCGGTAGCACGCAATACAGTTTAGCCCCGGCGCTTGCTAGTTTGACAGACATGCACCAGGAATATCAGGTATGCTCAGCGTGAACCAGCCTCAGCTTTAACGAGGGTCAGGAGCACCGTTAGCTGCAAAATATGTTTCGGCGACTTCTGGTCATATTCTCAATGCGGAGTACAAGTGGAGCTTCAACTCGTCGTGGCCTCTATTCCAAACTCGTACCTGAACACGTCAGGCCGCTGGTCGTACTCCACATGCGTACCGCAAACCGCGTCCTTCCACCGCGTTGCTGTCAAGAGGGCAACCAAATCACACTGTGACATCAGCTGAAGCCACAGAGCCTGGACGCAACGAGCCGCTTCAAGCAGCAGGATACGAGTACAGCTCTCCCCCACATAGCCCTATGTCAATGGCAGCTTAACCGATGTTGAGACTTACCTAGTCCAAGGTCAACCAAGTAAAGCTTTTTCTCGTTTGGTGTACCTGGTTGTCCAAGCAAGAAGTTCTCCGGCTTTACGTCGCCATGGACGTACCTGCAGAAGTGGCCGAATCCATGTCAGTCTTATTCCGGCGCTGACCTCCCGGCGTGGCAATAGCATGGTCTGCAAGTACACTTTGTTCAATGATGTCTGTAAGTCCACTGCATCTAATACACACCAAACGCATGGGTATCCGTGTAAGCTTAGCCACTAAAACTTGCACATCCCCGGCACTTGGAACTTCACCCTCCTCGTTCCCCACCACACATGGTCTTACCCCTTAGCATGCAGTTCCTTCAAAATGGAAAGCGCCTCGACAGCTATGCAAGCTACCATTTCTTGGGACATCACCTGGCCTGAGGAGTTCCATACATCCCAAAGGCTGGGGCCGAGCATGTCCATGACCTGGCGCAGAACGTTCAGGATTAGCTGTGAGTGATGTAAGCCAGCAGAACAAACCGACTTGCATGCTCACCATGATATAGTAATCGCCTTGTCGGCCCTTGTAGTGGACCTTGGGAATGCCATGTACTCCTCCAAGTGAGCTGCAGGGCAAGGAAACGGGAATAGCTAAGGAGCTGCCCTCCCGGCAGGCAACGCAATGGCTTCTTGACCAGAACCCACTTGTACACAGACCACTCGTAAGGTGGCCCATAATTGCAGCCTTTACTGCTGCGGTGCTCAAATTTAAGTGCAACCTGCACAACGCAATCAACATAATGGTGAGGAGAGGCCAGAGATAAAGTTTCTTCCTCAGGTTCAAAATCTACGAAGCTGACCTGGTTGGCCTGAGGTCCATCCTTCTGCTTCGTTGAGGATACACGGCGTCCAACGTATACTTGGCCAAAGCCACCCTTTCCAAGCTTGCGCTCCACGTAATACTCTGGGGACCCACCGACCAAGACCTGCGCAGCGATGGCCCGCTCATTTCCAAAGCTGCGCTTTGCAGTCCGCTGCAATAGAGGACAAAATATTGTGTTGCCTTATGCTTGCCTTATCGGGAAGCGGGGCTGTACTGGCTTCCTCCTCCTTGGCTGCCTTGTCGCCCTCCTTGTCCTTGTCAGTCTGCCCTTCGCCTTTCATGTCCAGCGCTGCTTCTCAGGGACTAAACAAATTTGCTTCCGCAATCGTCCCGAGCAAGGACAACAGCGGATGCTGCCCAAGCAGCTTCCCCTTACAAAAAGATTGCCTGCCGTTGCTCCCAGGTCTGGTGACAACACTCAGGTGCCGTCCTGCTCCTCTAACAGCTGTGTACCAGAAGTTGTGTCTGTCCTTTTGAAGAAGGAGCCCCTTGCTCTCCTTGCCGCCTTGCCGTCAGGGCCAAACACGCAAGCCAAGCTGGACCATCCGCCTTGGCTCCGAGATTTAGACGAATTCAAGCAGGAAAGGTAAGCAAACAAATACTTTTTTTTGGAGTACTACTGAAGTCAAAGCAACGTGTTTCTTTGGAGCGCTCCTAGCAGCAAAGAAGGTTATGAAGGACAACTTTGACCATGTGTACCAACCGTTTACCCTTCAACTTACTGCCATAGTCACCGGAAACAAAGCGAAGGGGGCGTTTTCTTGGACCGTACCTTGCAGTACAGTGACGTACAGCTTGCACTTCGAGAGCTCAAGCTGCAAAGCTGATGTCCAATTCTCACCGCCAAAGTCTACCACAAATATTGAGTGATATCTTCATTACTATTGCATAAAATGCCTCCCCAAGACGGTACGCGCCCTGCTTCACAGGCTTCGACGCACCTTTTATTGACGCTAGTACTGCATAAATTTTAACATGCGCAGCTCGAGCGGGCTCGTCTGGGTCGATGGGGAAGGGGACGCTGGGGTCTGGCGACACCCTTGGACACAAGTCTGTTTTGGACAAGCAGAGGCAAGTTTACCAACCAGCATTACGTATTGTTTTTATATTTATTGCGATAATGTTTTGGCGTACGTTGGCGTGACTCAGGGCGGCCATCGAAAAGCTGCGCGCACAGAATGAACAGCTAAAGACAGAGCTGCTGCTGGAGAACAAGTTTAGCGTCCGGCCGGGCGACCCATTTGCTCAAGCCCTCATTAACCGGCTGCAGGATGAGGGTGACATGCTTGCACGCAAGGTGCGTCTTTACAGCGATGCTGGTGCATGCTCGAGGCAGCCCACATTCCACAAATGGATTTCCCATTGCAGATCGTGCTCGAGATGCGTAAAAGTAAGATGCTGGATCAGCAGCTGGGTGAGATAAGCAATACACTGACGACAACACGGAACAACATGGGCGGCATTTTTTCAGCTAGGGAGCAATCCCAAGCTGTCCAGAAGCGCATTAAGCTACTCGAGAACCGTCTTGAAAAAGCTTACGTAAAATATAACCAGTCCATTACGCATAACAAACAGCTGCGTGAGCAAATAAACAACCTTCGCCGGGAGCGCATTATGTTCGAGAGCATTCACAGCAACTTGGAGCGGGACCTTGCCAAGGTGAAGCGCGACATGGCTGATATGATTCAGCAGGCCAACGGGGCCTTCGAGGCGCGGGAAAAGGCGATTGGGGAGATGAATGCCCTCAAGGCGCAGGCGGACAAGGAACAGCAGGGCTTTGAGGAGGAATGGCGGCAGCTAACCGCCATCATTGAAGAGGACAAGAAAGAGCGGGTAGGGACGGGGCCAGGGAATGGTACCCAACCATCGGCATCGGGCCAAAATGGGTTAGGTACGGTTCACAGGACGAAAACCCCTCTCAGGAAGATCGGCATCACGCGCGCCTGGACGACTGATGCTACAGATCTCCCCCTGAAGATGTGCTTGTAACACTGTACATCCTTGCTTCCTAACCACCAACCGATCTAAGCATAGTCCAGGGTCAATGGACTTGAAAAGGATGCCATTGCAGACCTCCACTATCTTGCTGACATGCATGCATCCGGACCCCTGTGATTACGTCCCCTGCATCCAGGAACGCGCTCGCGCACAAGAGCTAGCCATGCGTGAGCGTGAGACACAGGAACTCCTCAAGATGGGTACGCTGTCGTCGGCAGAGAAGAAGAAGCGGGTGTCTAAGGGGCAATGGGGCGCGGGCTACAACAAGGCCCTGGCACAAAACGTGGCCGCGGAGAAGGTGGAAATGTACGGGCAGGCCTTTAAGCGGATCCAGGTGTGTAGCAGGGAATCGCGGCGTGGGGACCAAGTCTTGGGCAGCACTGGGAGAACATGATCCATGTGAGGGGGGCGGGAGTTTGAATGCGTCCTTGCAACATTGGTTGCTGGCATGCCACATAGCTGGGGCTGTCCGGGGGAACCGTGGCATGGTGGCATGGTGTTGCGGGCATATTTGGCCCCTACGTGCCATTGACTGCTTTCAACCATGCATCATGCTGGGATGCGCTTTGGTCACTCTGCTAGTTGTCGTGACGGACGGCTTCCACTGCGGTGCCCATCAGGACGCCACCGGCATTGAGGATATTGACCAACTAGTGAACACCTTCCTGGCGGCAGAGGACCAGAACTACACGCTTTTCAATTACGTCAACGAGGTCAACCAGGAGATTGAGAAGTTGGAGGACCAGATTAATATCATGCGCTCTGAAATTAACAGATACCGGTGAGAGTGAGTTAGTCCGCATGGGGCCGCATACAGTGCCTTGCCTTGCCTTACCGGACGACATGGGCCCGGAGTTTAAGTTGAACCATACGCCAAAGTTCTTACCTTCATCTTTCATCTCGCGGGTGTTATCTTCCATGCGAGACGTATTTGCAAGAGGTTTGTGATGTTGAAAGTGAGACACTATGGCAGACTTCGCGATGCATGGGCCCTGGGTCGAAAACAGCTGTGGCGGCTGTGCTTACGCAGGGAAACCGGTCAGGAGCTGGACCGCACCAAGTCCCGCGAACTCACGGAGGGTGAGGCGCGGCTCGCGGCATGTGAGGCTCAGTCGCAGCTGTACGAGAAGCGCTATGAGGCCGCCACGTCCATGACCGCTGCGCTCAAGGCGGGCATCGCCGAGCTGTTTGATCGCATCGGCTGCAACACGCCGGCGGTGCGCGACCTGCTGGGCGAGGAGGGTCTCACGGAGGCAAACCTTATGGCCTACCTGGGCATCATTGAGCAGCGAACCAACGAAATCCTCCAAGTGAGGCGGGCTGGCTGGCCGCTGGTTGGCCCCCCGTATGGGACATACGTGATAACGTGGAGAGAGAGTCACTGGGATATGCATGATACGAACATGATACAATTACTTCCGTCGAAGTCCTCTACGAATGTGGTCACTTGTCACCACTAGCACCACCAATACCGCCTAGTAGTGCAGCTGCCCCGACATGAGGACGTAGGTGATTGGTCCCAAGTATGAAGCAACACAACAAAAGGAGTGAATGGCCTTTACTAACCGATTGCCGCCGCTTCATAACTGCTGAGGCTGCGCCTTTAAAATCGAACCGTTACCGCGGCGGTATCTTACCATCGGCTGCTTGCCTTGGCCACCTAACTCTGCATTGCGCTGCAGGTGTATGCCAAACGGAAAGCGGTCCAGGGCACGGAGGGCCTAGCGGAGGCGCTGCTGGCCCAGCCGCTAACGCAGCCTGGCAACCGCATCATCATCGAGCCGCCCTCCACCAATCAAGAGGAGGAGGTGGAGGGGTTGGAACCGGAGCCGGTGGAGGAGGACCGACCGCTGACGCGGGAGCACTTAGAGACCAGGGTGCAGCGAACACTGCCGCGCAAATTGGAAACGGCAATTAAAGTGCGACCGGCGGGGGTGGATGCGGCGGGCGGAAAGCGTGGGTCTCCTACGCGGCGGTGACCAGGGGCAGCAGCTGCTGCGGCCGGGGTTGGGGTATGGGTTTGGGTTCTACTGGATTCCTTTTCTTGGGTCTGGCTTGGCGCACGAGTGTGTGCACGTGCGCGGATGGGCAGCGAACTGCGAACATATGGCGTGATTCATAGACCAGCATTACTAGGGTTGGGATTAGAGTCAACGACATTCGGTAGTGCACTGTTGTGTTGCGTGAAGCTGGAGTGGCTTGGGTTTGGCATCTGTGCAGCGTGAGTGTGGCTCTCGGTTCGCTGAGATGAACGGACGCGGACACTGCGGTAGCCAACCAAGTGGAGTAATGGTAGTGGCTGTGTGGTTGCAGGACGACAGGCATTGCATGCATTACTTGTACTTCCTTTTTAGGTCCGGTCTCGGAACAGTATCTGCTGGCTGGGCGCGTAGGTGGACGAATGCCTGGTGACCTGTTAACACGAACCTGACGCGTATCTCTGCGCTGCTGGTGTGTAGATTATGACCGTAATTCAGGACAGGGTTACATGGAAACTGTTTGGTTGATCGTACGGCGTGCCAACTAGTCAGGAATAACGGAGGATAACCGTTGAGCACTGTGGTCAACGTGGGAAGTTCTGGTCGTGGTCGCGGCACGCTTCGGGTGCATCGCCAGCAGCACCGCCATGGTCTTTTTTGTAAATATGTAGGCGGTATTTGGGTTATAACTGTTAACTGGTATACGTGGGTGATCCGTTTGAACCCAGTGAAACGACTTTCATCTAGTTAGGTGATGTGCACCATGCTGCCATTAAACCTTCGCAGCTCTGAGGCGATGTCTGCAACTGAATTTATGTACCTCGCAGGTTACAGTGCGAGGCCAACTGTACTCGGTAACGCGAGCTGTTTTGGTAACGCGAATTTGTTTTGGGCTTGTGCGTAGGCGGCGGAGTCCTGGTCAGCGAAGCCCAGTAGGCTTGCGTGCTTGTTCGTGTTTGGCTGCTCCTAGTAACCTGTCCCATCCGAGCCGTGTTTTCCGATGAAGCGACAGAGACGCCCTCCGTGCGCGTTGAGGCTAGGCTGTGGAGTTGGGAGAGGATTGGCGCTGGAGGGGGTCCCACGAAGAGTATCAAGGCGGAGGATTAGCTTCACTAACTGACCGGCGACGTGTGTGTGCTGCCTCGCAAGCATTTGGCCTTCACACGCCAGGGCCTCATGCAACCTTTCCCAAGGTTATCAGGTTATCAGCCATCGCCACAACAATAAAGTCAGCTGCCGCTTCCCGGTGCCTCATACTACTTACTTCAAAACTACATCATCTCATTGCCTGCCGTTACACCGCACTTCCCAAGTTTCCATGTGGGACCCCCGACCCAGACAGCCTCATGCGTATTATGTCCCCTCTGCAAGCTCATACTCAATCTGCACCTTCCGCACAGACCGGGCCCCACGAATGGAACTCCCCACAACCCCAGCCACATCCTTTCCCGCTCCCTCGCTATTTGTCCCCTGTATCCCATCACCCCCGGGTCCCAGCCCCCAGCCCCCGATGCGCTCCTCCAGCTCCCTCATCCCCACGGTACGCTTCTCGACACAGGCATCATCCGCAATCCCCCCCGAATCCAGATGCACCCCAGTTTCGCGACCTGAGCTGGAAGCCGGAGCCGCCGCTGCACCTGCATCCCCGTCAGCAGTATTGTCTGCTCTGCCTGCTGGCCCCAGCTCAGCCCTCGCTGCCGAAGCTGACGGCGGCAATGGTCGTTCCACATCCGGATGCAAACCCGCCTTCTCTCCGCGCTTCCCGCGCGTGCGACTGACCCCTAGTCGCGGCAGCCCCCTGTTGAGGCCCTCCAGCAGCACACACGCTTTGCAGACCGGTTGGCTGGAGATGTAGCCGCAGCGTTCGCAATTGCGGGGCTGCGGCAGCTTGTCCTCCGAGGCCGAGGTGAACACAAAATCCTCGGCGGAACGGATCACGTCAATAATGGCCATGGGGCGGACGGCCTGTGTGGCAATGGATTTGTACGCGAGACCCATTGAGTGATAGCGCCGTGGATTTGTACGCGAGACCCATTGAGCCCAAGGCCGCGGACAGCAGAGGACCGGCGGGCGGGAGCGTGTATTCGCACACCTCCGTGTCGCAAACCAGTGGCTGCAACCCAACTACCTCTCCCTCCAAGACGCCAGCACCCCACAACCCCAACACAACCAAACACCCTCCACTCCCTTCCCGGCAATAAACTGAGCTCGAGCACTACTAGCCACAAAGCAACCAATCCAAACCCAATCCTCCTTCCTACCCGGCCTCCCAAAACCCAAAGATGCTGCTGCTCCTTTCCTCCACTACCCCCGACGCCTCGCAGCACCCCACCTCGAGGTCCTTGATGAACTCCCGCGCAAAACCCCGTGCCGCGTAGGGTGCGTACACGCACTCCGTGGAAAAATAGTCGAGCTTCTTGTAGTAGGCGTATAGCACGATCTCCTTCTCGTAGGCGTATTTGAACGGCTTCACACGCGGAAGTGGACTGTCCCCCCCCGTGATGATGTTGGCACAGCGACTCAGCCTGTCCAGTGCAGTCACGACGAGCCACACAGCCGGGTGGAAGGAGGAAGGAGGAGGAGAAAGGGAAGCTCACCCAACTGAGCTGCCGTCGCGCCATACAATTTTCCCGTGTGCAATGGCACACGCAGCCGCCCCAGGCGCACCATGCCAATGCACGTGCGCCCTTAGTTCGGCTGCTGTTTCTCACCTAAAGCTTCAGTCCCCCATTACAACTGCCAGCTCCGAAAACGCGGTGCCTTTTCGTTCCCGTGAAAGCCGCCGCTTCGTTAGCTTGGCTGTCGCCTCCCTCCCTGGACTGACCTGGGCACGTCACCACGGAGTATATTGAGCAGCACCGTCTCCGCCACGTCATCTGCATTATGACCCGTCGCGATCTTGTTTGCACCTGCCAACACGGCACCTCTGTCCAGAGCCTGGCAGCCGGAAGGGGGGGGACGCCCCGGCCTGAGCCCCGGCACAAAACCGCATGGCATGCATGTGCTAAAGAACGGGAAAGCAAGCAGTAAGGCATATCTTAATGCCAGTGGGATGGGCGATATGCGATGGCGGAAGCCGCGACACGAGGTCAGAGGAATCACACCAACACAGGAAAACAGTAGGGTATCTCGCTTTAAGCCCACCCCGCACGCCCCCTCCCTCCCTCACGGCTCCCCACCCCCAGATAGTACACACCTGGCGTCTGAACACGCCACAGAAGGTGCAATTGTTTTTGGTGCCGATTTGCGCCACAATTTCGTCCATAGTCCAGCCGTACAAGTCCTTGTACGATACCACCGTCAGCGGGATGCCGTACTGCTGCTCATTCCGTTTGACCGTCTCCAGTGAGTCGTCGCGATAGCCGGCGATGCCCTCGTCGATGGATAGCAGGAAAAGGTCCAACCCGTACCTGTTACCAGATACCACAACGCAAATTTCGGTGTAAGGAATTAGGGGCCATGCATTATTATGGTATTGAAAGGGTGCGGCGGCTGGCAGGCAACGCCGTTGCAGGCACAGTGAGAACCACCACCAACAGTCACCCTTCACAATAAGCTCACGCTTATTGTGCCAGGAGTAGGTTATGGTCGCAAGACCTGGCGCAAGGCCTGGCAGAAGCATGCGGCTCCGACCAAGTAAACCAAACCAAGTATACGCACGATTCTGATCTGCCAGGTCTTATGGATGCTAGCCACTTTTTTTGGTCAGGGAGAACGCTTGGGAGAGGAGCAGCAAATGAAGATCTCCGTCCCTTACACATTCCCATACCGCCATTTCCCCTGTATTATCACAACAGCCCTTCCCCGCTCACACACACTCTCATACCACCACATCCACAGACATCCACACGAACATTGGTGTCTAGCCATCCTACCCGTAGCGTGCGTTAAGCGTCGTCATGATATGCGCCAGTACCGTGGAGTCCTTGCCGCCCGAAGCCGCAATGGCCACCCTTTCCCCAGGTCTGAACAACTTAGTCGCGGATATTGTCTCATGCACCTCTTCCTCAAACAATGTAAAAAAACATTCTCGGCAAACCTGTCACGCGTGAGTGTGTAAAACCCTGAGCAGGCAGGCAAAGTATGGCGGCAAAACCGCGTTGGAAAGTCATTTGTACCTGCTCCTGCGTCTTCGGACGCTTGAGCATAGCTTTAGAGGTCTGGCATCTCACGCAGAGCCTAGGAGCCATTTTCAGAAATTTCGGTGGAGGGTAGATACACTACGGTGATGCAACCATGTCCAGAATTGCTAAAATTCGCTGCAGGCTGTGCAAAGCATTTGTTACGGTGGTTTTCATGATACTGTGTGTGGCCGTGCATCTACTTCAATTCGTCCAACCATCGACAGGTCAACCAATCCAGGACGACACATATATATACCATCCAAGTTTTTATATAATTTTATATAATTCATATCAATTGATCACTTTGAGCCGGTTTGCCTACTGATTACCATCATGCGGGCGAGCCATAGGCACCGTGTTCGGTGTAGCCCTTCAACCTGCCAAGCAGCGAGGGTCATACGTCCGAAGATCGTGTGTGCAGCGACAGGCCCAGTCCCTGATGCGCGCGTCGTGGTTATCGGCGGCACCGGTCGCGTGGGCTCCTCGACAGCATCAGCTCTGATTAAGGAGTTTCCAAACCTTAAGATAACGCTGGCAAGCAGGAGTGATGAATCGTATCAAGCAGCTGTTTCTCGGCGGCCGGAGCTGTCCCAGGCTGCGTTCCAGCGTGTCGACATCACCAACGCCGATTCAGTCAGGGTACGTTTGCCGCATGCCAAAACGTATCAGTCACAACCCGTGCTTCTTGACATCTCTGGTGCAGACCCATCGCAACCTGAATTCCGTCCACGGCTCTGCGGCGGCCGTGCCTCGCAACGCTGTGGACGCTGGGTTTTGGGTCATAGCTCCCCCGGCGAGGCCGGTTGCAAATGGAGACTATTGTTTATTAAAGGCGCTAATCGTTCTATTTCCAATGGACTCTTATTAAGGCCACTGGTTATTTGCCGGTTTTGGCGATCCTCTTGACGCAGTCAAGCGGACAAACCTTGACTTTTCGTGCACTAGCATGCCAACTCCACCTGAGGAAACCCAGCCCGCAGAAATGCCCCTGCCTGCAGCACAGGCAGTCACACAACGCACGGGGAAAAAACTCGCGTTAACGACAGCAGTGTGCGCATCTTCATCACATCTTCATAGAGCTTGGTTGCCCCAAGAAGCAATCCTGAAGTCGTACTATTGTCTGCATTGCTGCCTGCTGTCACAGGGATTGCTGAACAGTACGGATGCTGACCTGGTCATCCACACTGCGGGGCCTTTCCAGCGCTCCAAGAACTATGCCGTACTTGAGGCAGCGCTCGACACACGTACCCCCTACATCGATGTGTGTGACGACACTCCGTACTCTGAAGGGTGCGTCGGGTAGGGGGGGAAATGCTGCAGTCCGTTCCGGTCTAAGATGCAGACCGGCAACTGCACCTAAGAGAACGAACAGGGCAGGCAACTCAGCTGATCCTCTATTTTGCTCAATTTGGGTTAAAACTCAACACGTAGGATTGCGTGCTATCCGAAACTGCCTGAGCCGTGAGCGTGTGATAGGCCTTTTTTGCGATCTCGGACACAAGTACACGGCATGGGGTTTGCTGCGGCCATGCTTTGTTCATGAAGTCCTCCGCGGCTGGGTTTGATACATATTACCGTTCCTCCTTTTTCACATGCGCAGTGCAAAGGCCAAGTATGCAGAGCGCGCTAAGGCAGAAGGCGTGCCCGCCATTGTTTCTGGCGGCATCTACCCGGGAACCTCTAATGTTATGGCTGCGCATATTATCTCGATTGCGCGCCAGGAGTACGACGAAGGGTGGAACTACCGTACACCACCGCCGGGTGAGCCCCCTTTCGGTTTGTGGGTGTAACAGAATCTTGGTCTGGGTCGCGCGATTTGGGTCAGGATTGCCAATGCGTAGTACGCGATCCTCCTGGAAATGGACAATTCGACACATTTGTCAGGGCACATCTAGCTGCGAGGGAATATACCGCAGTCAAATTTCAGACTTGTCACCGCTTCAGTGATTTCCCTTAAACCACATCGTACAGGACACCAATGAACTGCTATGGTGAAGTCGAAGAAGAACACGACTTACACTGACTTGCTGGCTGACGACGCATATCTGCGAGAGATAGGCTCAGTGATCTGGGTCCGTCTTTTATTTGGAGGCCTGAGCTATTAGAGCCTCTCGTCCCAAAGCCGGAGCGGCTCTCTAATCCAACCTTGCATTGAGCCCGAATCCGCTCACCCACTCCCGTAGGTGAGGGTGTGGAGCCCAAGTGGTTACGCTACAGCTATTATACAGCGGGCAGTGGCGGTGCAGGGCCCACCATCTTGGAGACAAGCTTTCTGCTCGCCGGTGAAGACGTGATTGTGTACAAGGATGGCAAGGAGGTTATTCTACCACCTATCAGCAACCGGCGGGAGGTCGACTTTGGGCCAGGTGGGGATGGACAGTCGCATTGGGTCTGGCTGTGCACACGGCGTGTGTTTCTGTCTGGTCAGGACAGACTTCCTCATGGCAAAACTGGATAGCTCGGTGCGTACGGATTATCATGCAGTGACGTGGCATGCGTTGCTGCCAAACACCTTACGGGGTCTCGCCATCGTTATCAACTTCCCTTTCGGCGTCTCGCGTTCTGGCTCTTCATCCCACATACAAGCAGCGGTCTGTAAATTGTTTTCTGTGTTCACCCTCAGGTGTGGGACGCAAGGGCGTGTACCTGTACAACTTGCCCGAGGTGGTGTCTGGTCACAAGTACATGCGCGTGCCTGACGTGTCTGCGCGCTTTGGAACTGACCCCTTCATTTGGAACTGGGCTATGTGGTTGACGGCGCGCCTGATTCCCCGCAAGCTGCTGAACGATCGAGGCTTTGTGAAGCGCTTTGCAGCGTTATCAGATCCCTTTGTTCGCAACGTGGATAAGATTATTGGCGAGGCGGTGGTGAGTTTTCGGGGTCCATGCATGCACGGACCGTGCTCAAATAGCCCGGTAACGGTTAATGACGGAGCTAATCTTGCCCGTCAGGCTCTATCTGATCGATAATGATGTGTAGTTGTGATTATGCGGCACAACGAAGTGCGTCTTGAGGATAACTGCCAGCATCCATTGGATTTCCTGAAATTTATCAACAGGGTTCAACAGGGTTTGCAAAATTGCTTTTTGACCCATGGAAAGCGACACGCAGCCCGTCTACACAGTGCCTGTCCCCGCACCACACCGATAGCAATGAGCTTCCATTGCGCTAACAAGCACGGCCCTGGCCCTCGGCTTGGCCTCTGGTATCCAGGCGATGCGTGTGGAGGTCGACATGGTCAACGGCAAGAACTCGTCGGGCATCTTCGTGCACAAGTACCTCAGCCAGTCGATGGGGTACAGCACCGCAGCCTTTGCACAGAGCGTGCTGCAGGGCAAGACCAAGCCGGGGGTCTGGTATCCAGAGGAGCCTGAGGCGCTGCAGGTACACACCAGACACGGGCTGCAACACGGGAAGGAGCGCCATTTCCCCTTTGCGTTATGTTTCAGGGAAGCTTCATGCTGCCAGCGATGAGCGGTCATTGCAAGGCGAAAGAGAATATGGAGGACGCCTTGTCGCGATGCCTGCCTGTACTGCTTTCCATTCATGATGTGCAGGAATTCCCTTTCCCCCATGCAGCAGCGAGATCCACCTTACTTTATTCGTTGCGTTCCTGCAGGACCGGCGACAATTCCTGCAACTGGCGGCCACGGGCTGTTCGCGCTTTGACCTCAACCGTTCTGCCTGGGCACTGGAGAGCGAAATTAAGCAAATCGGCGGGCTCATCTACTGGTGACCGGTTTGTGGCATCAAGGGCAGCGAGCGCTCCTCGGTCCACACTGAGCCAATTTATGCATGAGCAGGGGAAGGGTGCGGAAGGTTTTAGCCTCCGTTTGCGCGTCGACTGCTTAAGGGCTGCGGTTCCATGTCATGGGCTGTCGTCTTGGAACAGTCGAGCGAAGCCATGCAAGCAATGATAGCAATCGGAAGGGTAAGCGCGAGTGGTAGGATCGGAAGAGGCGGGCGGGTTACGGTGCAGGGCCTGGGCACCGGCTGTCACCGGCTTTTACAGACGTTTGGTGTGGCTTGCGTAGTAAACGATTGGGCCGCGCTGCGCAGTCCATTCCAATTGCGGTTCGGAAGTCCTGATTCAAGGGTTACTGGTTACTGAGGAGAGGGCACAAAGGGCGATTGCCGGAGAACGGCCATGGTAGTGCGTTTTGTGGGGGATAACTTAAATATGGCTATGTCTCGAACCTGCAACTTGGCACGAGGGCGTGCAGCCATAATCCTTATGAAGACCGCCGGACAGCTTCACCATGCGTCCAGCGGCCATTAAGCTAGTAGGCGCGTCCTCGGTTACGTTTGCGCGTACAAGGAGCGTGTGACATATGTGCATATCGCTGCATTTTCATTCGGATTCATGACAACGAGCGGTGCTTTGGATTTGACAGGTGGAGAGAGGCAGAGATGGCAGATAGGACGTTGGCACGGATTAGCATTGGCTAGCACTGGCGGTTTGTCGACCGGTGTTGTTGTCCCCAGACCTTTTTCGGCACATCCCTATTAAGTGGAGAGACGAAGACGTTTTAAGTACGCGGACCAGGGATAGACAGGCAGACAGGGCTCTGTGACAAAAATATGGCTATTATTCATGTGGTGCGGCATACGGCATCAAATGCTTCAGCCTTGGGTCGGTCTGTCCTGCTGCAGTGCGCTGCGTTTCACTGAGCTTTGCTCTCCGCTTTGATCGCTTGGATGTTTGGAGAACCTTCTGGCGATGCATAGCGTGGATGAGTGGCTCACCAACGTGTGGTTAATACCCGGGTCGTTCAGAGTGTAACTGTGCGTATATGGTCTGGGTATCCTTGTGCCTGGGTCAGCAGATGCAATCCTTGGGTGCCGTATTGAGACAGGACAATTTTTTGCAGCCCTGTCGCGGGGACTCGACACATGATGTGCAGCGCCACACTGGTCGGCTGGATACGGTAACTTTGCTGTAGCATGTTATTTTTATTGCGGTATGGTTCCTGCCTGGAGAACTGCCTTTTGTCTTCCAAGTTGACGACCTATCATTTAGATTGTGATAGGGGACTGAGAGCTTTAGGAATTCTAGAGAACTTAAATAAGGTTCAGCGCCTGATTATGAGGCGAAAGGTCGGTCGATGTTTTTTTGCAACCGCAGCGATGTCACGCAGGGACACAGACGCGTGCGTAATTTATTCGCGGCAGCGGCGGGTATGACACGTTGTTATAGATCTATAATGGAATGGACCTATGACAGACGTACCCCATTCGCGTTTAGAAATTCAACGCGTTAGGAAATCACTAGCCAGGTTCCGCTCGGAAGTCTGGGAGGCCCGGCATGTTGCTTTGGCGCATGGCGCTTCATGCTCATTCGGACGAGGGAGGACGATGATGATCCACCATGTAACCACACTAAGACGATTTACTGTCCATGGGCCCCCCAGCTTTTATGGACACCCCCGCACTTGTGTGGAACTGAAGTCATGATGTTCCCAGTGTCGATGAGAATGGAGGCATCAGACTGGCACGCTTTACCTCGAAACCTCAATAGTCAAACCCTTAGAAACGGAGAAAGGTGAAGGAGGGACGCTTCCCTATCGCAGCAACAACATCGAACAGTGTGCTAGGTATTTCGGAAGTGCAAAGTATGCAAGTCAAAGAGATGAGTGCAGAAATTCGTCTTTGTGTTACAAGATTGACGAGGCTCGGCAATTAGAGCAGCAAAGACAGCAGCATCCTGATGCATGAGGTGCGACTAATGACAAAGTCTGCATAAGCCGAGCAAACTCGCCACTTGCTGCTCACACACACACGAAC